CACAGTCTGACTCTGTAATAAAAACCAAAGATAATGTTAGCTTTATATTCAGAAGTCAGTTCACCAGCTGTAAAATCTTAAAACCAAAGCAAACGAGTGAGTTTTTAGTCACACACAGGCAGTTTATAATCGCAGACAGAGATGTCCACTGATTTGGACTAATAACTATGGGCCATATTCCACCTTGTGCTTAAGTCAAAAAAGCACGTAGTCATTGACATGTGCACTGTTAAGCATCTTTCCAACTGTATGCTCTGGAGGGCTGTATTTGTCATAGACCAGGGTTAACAGACTACATTATCCAGAATGCCTTGCTCCTGTTTCCATTTGATTTTGAAATTGCCTGGTTCTTTGAATTATTCGCACCTGATAGTTTCATTATTCACCTTATTTGTACTTACAGTACATGTTCCTTCAGTATTCAATGGGCACTTTGGAAATTAATCTATAATTGTTTTATCAATGTATTCAGTGGTGTCGTTTGTGCACCTACACGTGGAATTAACACTATGTACATGCAAGATGCAGCACCAGCAAAAATCTAGGGGGCAGTGTGGTCACCTTTTCAATGAACATTCTGCTCTTAAATGGAGTCTGGGGATCGAAATAAAGCACTGAATGGCCTTGCTCCAGAATACCTTAGAGATCTGCTGGCCTCTTATGACCCTCCTCGCTTGCTTCGATCTCAAGGAGCAGGATATCTATTAGTACCTAGAGCAGAAAAAGCTACGGCAGGCTGCAGAGCCTCTCTTACAGAGCACAGCAGATGTGGAATAGTCGTCCGGCAGATGTGCGAGATTCAGGCTCACTCTCAATATTGTAATGTAGTCCAAAATCACCCTTGTTTAGTCTAGCCTATAGGAACTCTAGTTCTATCTCTAGCTAAATGCTCACTTCCAGTTAGACCTGCAGTGTGAGGTGTAGAGCTGGGTGGGGATCGGTGCCATTGGCTTTGGATGAACTGACCTGTCAGTGCTGTCACTCTAGCTTCACCCCCCCTTGTGGAATTGGAGTGCTGACGTTCAGGGACTCCCCCATGCCTGCATTCCCACCTGCCTCTCCCTCCTACTTATGCTGCCATAGCTGTATCTGCCGGAGCTTCCACACTGCACTCACCTAACTGTCTGCACTGCCTCTAGTCTCCCCTACCTTGGCAAACACATTTTTCATTTCCACCACCCCTCCTGGGGGGTGCTGTCCGGAGGTAAAAAAAAAATCAATATCCTGCCTACCCTGCTGCCTGCATTGCCTCCACT